AAAACATACTTAAATATATATGTATAATATTTTATATATAATAATTTTACACGTAAATAAGATTTAAATATTTTGCATATCCAGCGTTTGGCTCTTAAATTCCTAATTCTTGATTTGATTTCTACTTAACAAAGTCGTTTTACGTACATTTATTGAACTAAAAAAAAAAAAAAATAACAGGAAGGTGGTGACATTTGGAATGTGTTGTGAAACAAAACACGATTTTTTTTAAGGAAGAAACAGGACATTTGTGGAAACTACTCTAATACATCTGTTACGCCGTTACACATAAACAAAAGTCCTACACATAAATAAATGATTAATCGTGTAAAAAGTTCACTAAAAAATCATTTCGTTATATAATAGAACTTGTCTCGGCTAAATAAATAAATAAATATATATATATATATATATATATATATGTATATATATATACGTATATATATATATATTGCGCTTTATTCGAGCGCGATAAAGCAACTTAAAATAAGGAACACAGTTTAGTTAAAGATACTCGGTAGATAAAATATACACAAATCTTTATTTTTTTTTATAACAGAGTTCATACTACATATAAAAAACATGCAAATGCGGATAAATGATAATAAGACGAAATCACAAAGCTATAAAACGGATACGGATATATAAATTGTTGCGTTCAGCAAGCAATTGTTCAGATCAAGTTGCGCTTTGGTAGCGCAATATGATTTAGATCTTATATTATTAGAATAAACATCGGGACAAGACGATTCATCAATTGTCCTACTGAACGCGGTCAATGTAAAAAATACGTATAATTTTCTTTTTTTGCCAACATTTTCGTAAAAAGAGGTTCGTCGTAAACAGCGCACAGTGGAGTAATTGCATTCGAAAGCTGATCAAAATTATTTTTAAAGATCAAAATTACTTTTATATCCAGTTACTAAAGAAGGATTCCAAATTAGGATCGAAACGTCTGTAGTTTAATCTAAATTTGAACAAACAACATCTTAACCCCCGAACGTCTTTTTTTTTTTTGTCTTGTATTGGACTCTCTCTTCTATGTAAAAGTATTTTTGTTTCTTTGATCAATTAATGATTTATTAGTTAATCAGTTTGTTATTTAATATACCTATTATATTATCTAATCCTTTTTCCTCTTAGGCTTTTTTTGGCTGGTTTTTAATCCGTTTACATGTGAAATATATATTTTCAAGAATATATATTAAAGAAAAAATATATATTAAAAAATATATATATATTAAAGAATTATATTAAATAATGTTAAAAAAAAGTACGAGTAGCGCTAAGTGGTAAATGTCGTTGAGTGGTACAAAAAATACAAAAAAAGGTTTAGAATATAAGTAAATTTAGAACATAGATAATTTTAGTACTTAATAAAGTATCAGCATTTCTTATTTTCCTTACGTACAAAAAAAAAAGTTAAGTGCAACATAAGTAGACTTCACATTCGTGTAAGTTTCACATTCTTATTGTTATTTATTATTTAGTATCAGACAATATTCATTAAATAATATTAAAAAGAATTATATATTAGAAAAAAACGTTAAATATGATATATAATCTAAAAAATATTAATATATTAACATTCGAGAATGTTTTTCCGATTTCAAGAGCAGTCCTGATACTCTTGAAACCCTGACGAGGTGAAACAAAATGTGTCAGTCGATATAAAAAAAATAACATCAACGCGGTTCAAACCTCCCTAAAAAAAACAAACATCTTCGAATGTTAATACAACGCACGCGCGAAAGCATAAAAAGAAAAAATATTAATATACTCTAAAAAATATATACTCTGAAAAATATTATATATGCTCTGAAAAAAATATTATATACTCTGAAAAATATTACACACTCTAAAAATTATTACATATTGATAATGAAAAAATATCATTACATTGTTGTTTATCTCTATCTTTTCAACTTCATCGTTCGAACATTCACCGCTTGGCTCTCAAATTTCCAGTTTCTCTGAAGATTCTGTGTGTGTGTGTGTGTGTGGCAACACACACAAATTTTACACCCGAATTAAGATTTTTTTTTCAAAAGTGACTTTTTTTGACCAGCTTTTCGAATGTGTAAACCCCACTGTGCGCAGCGTAACAAAAAGGCGCACAAAAATTTTTCTCTATTACACACATAAAAAGAAATAAATCAGATTCCTAAACTTAATATATATATATATCATGAATCCTTGTAATGTAATATAAAGTGGAAAAGATTGATTCGTTCTTCTTTCCGTCGATAATCAAAGATCCAATTGTGGTATAAATGTGTTGAATATATATATATACACACACATATATATATATATATATATATATAAAATCTACATAAGAAAAATATGCACGATGTAAAAATACACGTCAAAGCGACGTTGTATTTCTGCGTCATTTTTAATTAAAACGTGATGTGTGTCCTTCTCGTAAATGCATGTTTTCCGAACCACACCTTAGCGACGTTAAATAGTGAAAGCAGAGAGACTATTCAATATCCCGAACGTTCTCCTAAAATCTGTTCAAAAGATCGTGTTGACATCATGTGCTCTCTCCCGTACACGCCGCCGATAATCACACAGCGTACGTGACAATTTGTGATCGCACTCTCTCCCTCTCTCTCTCTCATTTTTTTTTTCTCAGATTTTATTCATATCGTACCTGGGGTGGGATTCGTGCGCGGGGATGGCCCTGCAATGGTTGCGGAAGTCGACCGGGTTGTCCGTAATTCGGGCCCCATTGGCCCACAACAACACCCGCAATCTCCAGTTGACCACCGCGCGACGGAATGGGACGTCTCATGATTCCACGCTGTGGAATCGTTCCGCTCCCGCGTCCACGCAATATACCGTCGTTGATGGCACATCCGGCAGGCAGGATGTTCGAGGGAATTGACACGCGTATTCCCGCTGTAAATTAAATTTGTACAAAATTTTACTTGCGCAACAAATATACACGTTGTCACACAACATTTTTTTGCGAACAGTCTGCGAACGTCAGAGTGTTTGCTTTTTTGTGTCGCAGCCGCGAGATTCGCGATGTTCAACGATTTGAACTCTCGCGAAGCAATTATCAGCTGCTCTTTGCTCTGCTTCCGTTCGAAAACATCTCGTTACGAAGAGTCGCAAGATGTTAAGGTTACCGGAAGCGTCGTCGTGGGAGATGATAAATTCATTGAGAATTGTCTGATTGACTTTTTACTTACACAAAATAATCGAAGTGTGTAATCGGATTTATAACTCTCTTTTCTACTAATGTTATTTCTTCTGAAATAACATATACGGGAGGAGGAGACTTTAAAGTCTCTCCGATTGGTACGTAACAGTTCCAGTCACTACGTGTAAAAGTCCCAGTCGCCACATGTAACAGTCTCAGTTGAACAGTTAAAGACTAAGGTAAAATTATAGCGTACCTGGTGTCACAGGTAAAGGCGGTCTGGCGAACACAACCGTGATTCCCTCGAGTATCGCTTTCCTCATTCTCTCGACCTTCATCACGCGATCGATGTGACCACTGCAGAGTTCCAACAAATTCTTCGCGATGGTGGTGCGCGCAAGTGTATGATGGAACAGTTTTCCGTCGAAGTAAAGCCACGGGCAGCACATAAGCCAGGGTATGGGGGCGCCGCAGGCGTCATTCGCCAATAGCGCGGTCTCGACACCGGCCATGAACAAAGTAGCCAGCTGCACACCCCGCGATGTCACCAACGATAGCTACACACACACGGAAAAACCACGGTGTAAACATGAGCCGTTCGGATAATGTTTTATAATCAGGGGGTTATAATCAGAAAGAGAGAAAATTCACAAGCACACACGATGATGTGTGTTTTTACCTGCAAGTCCTGCAAATACTGAGCGTTCATAAGTTCCGGTGAGAAAGCTTGGGCGATAAAAGCGTCCAATTCCTGACGACGCAGGATCTTGATCTTGTCGGAAAAGGACATGATGTATCTGTGGAACAACAAATCAAACATCAATCCACACAAATTCTATCGATCACGATAGGATATGTTTTCTCCGGTTCGAACTTGTTTTCACAGGCGCGCTAAAAACAAAACGTGTGTAAATTTCTTTTTACACACGTAAAAAGAAACAAATCAGATTCTTAAACTTAATATATATATATCGTAAATTCTTGTAATATAAAGTGGAGAAGATTAATTTATTTTTTTCTCCGTCGATGATTAAAGATTCAGTTGTATATGTATATGAATATGTAAAAATATATGTATATGTATATATTCAGTAGATTATATATATATATATATTATATATAGGTATAGGTATATATAATTTAAACTTCCGCGTCACTGTCGTTTGCCAATATCTCATTAAGGTTTTACGACCACACCTTAGACAGATACGGTAAATAGTAATAATAATAGTAATAATAATAGTAACAGTAATAAGTGATAAATAAATTAAAAACGTTCCCCCGTAAAATCAGTTCAACACATCCTTGAACATCAAGTGTTTCCTGATTCCCATACATTCATATTGTTATATGAATATATAAATCTAAAACCAATTATATTGATTAAATATTTAAATGCTCTCAGAAGGTGTAGATGCATGCATTACAATCTATAAATTATTCTGTAAAATGCAGTTTGTTCGAATACAAAAATTAATCATTCTCAAACAACGGAGTATAAATATGTAAAAAAAAGAGAGAAAAGACGCGTTAATTAATTGCTTCATCATTACAAGGTGATGGATGATAAATTGATGCGCTTTTGTTTGTTTTGTTTTTTTTATACTCTAGAGATCGCAATTTGAATTTTTGCGCTGTTTCTTTTCTGAATTTTCTTTTATTTGAAACAAGAAAAAGTTGTTCGAAACGATCGTACTCTCGACATTTACCTTAATACGCAAGCCATAACCAACAAGTGTTGGGGAACGTAAGAGGTGTTCAGCATGAGAGGTGTATCGGACCTCATGCAAGTCAGGAATCCTCTAAGTCTACGACGCTTGTCATCAATAACTGTGCTGGAAAAAATAGGAAATTTTTTCAGTTTACTCGCGAAAGTCAAAAGAAAACAACAATCTTATCGCACAATTAAGAACGAAAATTTGTAAAAATTTAATTAAGAGTCCTAAGTAACACTCTCTCGCTTACCCAAACCACAGACGTTGAATTGTAGGCACTCCCCAGCCAATTTGTTCAGCCTTCACCAGTTCCGGAGTTTGATAAGGATTTGACTTGGACCAAACCCATTCCTTTATGATCACGTCCGGAACCTCCACTTTCTCGCTCTCTATTTTCACGAGCGAATTCGCACAGAGTTATACCAACAACTGGACCAAATATACCGATACATCGCAAGACAATTCTCGTAAGATCTCAATACTCACCTCCCTTTTCTTTGCTCTTTGTCGCCATGTATATACGATGATGAAGATTGAACAGAATGGCGTATACCATTTGTCGAATCGGTCTGTAAATTAAATGAATGGAAGGAATTTCACGATGGTTCTCATCCTCAAGAAGAACCGGCAGTTTGATCTCGCCGGCGGTTAGAATTTGATAGATGTAGGTTGACATCAGTCCCTTCTGATGACGCTCGGAAGCGGTACGCATAACTTCCGGTGATGTTGTTGGAATACTGATCTTTTCGGCTGGTTGACATTCTTGCTCTTGTTCTCTTTGCTCTCGTTCTCGCTTCTCCGGCTCTTGTTCCGCTCGTTGTTGATCTTCGCCTGTAGGTTCGTGCGACGTTCCATGAGACGGAGACGTAGCGGAAGAACTACTGCTCGAACTCGACGAACTTATCAGGAGATGAGATGATCCATTAATGGCAGGTCCGTCGTCTAGTTTTTCAAATCTCATATGAAGTACCACAGCTATTGAATCATACGATATTTACTTATAAAAAAACGATGTTTACTTTGTTCGTCTTCAGTCCGTATGTTGTCCACGTCTCCATGGACCTGTGGTATGCCGGGTGGTTCGATTACGATCTGCGGAGCCGATTTCGCGTTGGCCGTGGCCTGCTTGTAAGCATTCAAACTCTCTCGCTCCCTTTCCAAGGTCTCAGAAGCAAATCTCGAAGTTTCCAAGTTTGCATCACTTTCTGACGTAGCATCCGCGTCCGCATTTGGTTGAGTTGTTGACTTGGTTTCGTGATAATTCTTAACTGAAGAGAAAAAAAAAAACAGACACGAACAGTTTTGATTTTCTCTGTACTCGAATAATGAAACTACTGCTATGGAATGAACGTCAAATTGAAAACAAACGTGCATACCTTTCGGCAAGTTCGCTTGTTTCGCAGGCTTGTAGTGCAAGAAACCTTCTTTCGTGCCGTTCAAGTAATATTGAATGGACTGTCGCAACTTGGAGCATCTAGTATCGGAAGCCGAACCGAAGACTTTAAGCGAAACCACTTCCAGTTCCACTGACGGCAGTTCCTTCACAAAGTTCGATAGCGTCTTCACGGTGTGTTCAACACCCGCTTTGCTCACCACGTTGATGCTAATGTTGAGTTTCTTGTAAAAGTCAAGCAAATCGTTCTCGTGCAGTATGTCATTTCCAAGCAAAGCTGCCAATATGCAGAGTCTGTCCGCTGGTATGTTGAGAGCTTTAATGAGTTCCGGTAGTAAATACTCTTTCGTGTCAAGTGAACCCTGCAACACATTTTTGTCGTGAATCTAGCAGAACGCACTCGGGGCTCGGTACCTTTACTAGAAAACAAAAACAAAAAACAAAAAAAAAACGCTTATCTCACAAATACTTGCCTTGTACGTGAGTTTCAATTGCGTAGATGAGAAATAGCGTGGCGGATCGAACGCGGCGTACTCGGCGTCGTCAGCAAGTAATCCATTGAAATTATTCTCACGAATATAAGCTATTACTTCTTGATGATGATCATCCATCGTACATAACTTGAGTGGTAAAGAAAGAAATGTTAAATTGTGTTGAAAATTATCTAACATTCACAACACGTTAAGCGCGGTGTCCGCGCTCCCTCCGCGGGACTGAACCCCGACGGTGAACTTTCCGTTTAGGCGGCGTCAGATTTTTCCTGAACGGAAAATCACAGCAAAATCGGGCTCCGCGCTTAACGTGTTAATAAAATATATCCTTTTTACCTTTTTTTTGTTCAACTTACAACTGTAACATTAAGATGCCTAAGAGCCATACGTAGACTTGTTCGTAAACCTACAGGCGGAGTCCACCAGATTTTTGGCGGTGGTGTGCCTTTCGTTGTTATATGTTTCAAAACCTTAATATAAAAAAAAAAAAACAAACAAACAAACAAACAAAAACATAGAAACAAAACGTTATCTTACTCCCATTGACTCAAAAAGCGCAGTCGTTGCAAACACTTACGTTATTGACTTTAGCACGCATTTGCAATTGTTGTTCAATCCACTCGTCATTTCTTAAAGGTTCAAGAGAGCCGTTAAAGAACACAACCAACTCCAATCCTGACATTTCTGTAGCTTGTATCAGTACGGCGAGGTACTGGAGCATGCGATTCCACTGACCACCACATGCCCAATCTGTGTGTGCACCAATAAAAAAATCACCCAATTATATAAACTTAAAAAAACCAACTACCGTGTTATAATATAATATAAGTAAGGTTTTCGATTTTTACCTGAAAAGAATCCACCATAAAGTCTATCCAGGCAACATTCTCCGTCCAGCACCAGTCTAAATTTAGAATTGTGTATAGGTTGACCTTTTATCATACGTGCACGTTGCCTTTGTTGAGGATGTAAACGACCTATCTTCAACAAGTCCACCGGTATACACCCTCCCGGGCAGTAGTTTTCCAAATATGCTTGCAACTTGTCAATGCCCATGGTTCTTCAATAATCTGAATTGCTTTGATCAATCGGTTGAGTGTTTTTGTTTTTGGTTCTTTTGTTTCTGCTTTTGTGTCTTGTATCTATTGTTCATATATTTTTATCCTCTTTGCGAGGTTTTCTTTGTTAATCGGCTTGAGAGTTGTTTTACCGTCGAGTTTTTGTGTTTCTCAATCCGCTTCTATAGAAAGAGCAATATAATTGTTTATCTCAGTCTGTTTTTATAAGAGCGAAANTTTTTTTTTTTTTTTTTTTTTCTATTTTATTTATTGTGCTTGTAATCGCTAATTTAAACACTTTTACCAGGTGTTGTGTACAAACTTAATTCCGACTTCAATCTGCAAAAAAAAAAAAAAAAGAAACGATGTCTTACGTTTCTCTACCATCGACACACAATATTTATGCATACATTTATATATGTATATACAATTTTTTTTTTCTTACAAAGGACACTAAAAGACTGTTTATATTCGATCATTCGCGCGAGACTCCGGAAAGCCTGCTCTCCTCCCTTCAACGGACGAACGAAAACAATTTTCCGCTACAAGGGTGGAAGAGGCAGAGTTTCTATAAACGTCGGCGATTGCAACGTCTGCAAAAACGAACACACGCCGGTTAAAGCCGGAAACAAAGATTTCTGTTTGGCGGACTCTCGACGACGAACGCGCGCCAGACGCCATTTATCTCTACTTTTGTTTATGCGGTTGCGAACGTTCTTCACGTTCCGAGGTGCCGGTAAAGTTCCCGTGACGCCGGTCACGGGAACGACGGATACCGTATTGCGATCGCTGCACGTCGCGCGAACGATAATCCGAAAATTACGACGAAAATGCTCCGTTTTACAGATCGGCGCATCAGCGTAACGAATCGGAGCAATGTGCTTGTTTTAGCGAATTGCAGCGACGGAAACGAAAAGAAACATGGTACACGGTTTTTTCGTTTCTATTTTCGCTTTGTGCGAGAACAGATCCGGGCGAACCGCCGCAACGCGGTGCGTTACTTACGTTAAATCAGCGATTATCATCATGGCCCCAAAGAAACACAAAACACACGGAGAAATTCTAGGTTTACGGTTGTATAGTGCTGTGCCAAGAGACGATTAGGAACAGAAGGAAGCAAAATGCGAAATACGGCGAGGGCGCGACAAACGCAGCAAACGCCTCGGCGTTCTAGATCTCACATACTGCCATCTATGCTTAGGGCGGCGTCCCATTGAACGGAAATCCATAGCGGAAACGTGACCAATCATAGTCACAGAAAAAACGAAGGAATTAAAACGGAATGGCCACGATTGGTCGCGCTGGTTCCGCGTATTCTGTTCCGCTATGGATTTCTGCTAAATAAAACGACGCGCTAGATGACAGCACTTAAGCCGGTATTCATTGAACTTAGGACTGTTAGAACAGACTTTTCTATAGTGCATGACGCACGATAATAAGAGAACTCGTGAGATCCAATCAGAGTTTTTTAAAAACTCGTGAGAATGGAAACAAAAGGCCGAATTGGCTGATCCTCTTATGCTTTATTCACAATCCTCAATATTTAAGATTTGTTTGTCCACCGTTTTCGATCGTCGCGATCAATAATTAAGCGACTCGATTGATGAATTGAACAAATATATGCTATTAATCGCTCCGGCAGCGAGTCAATGCAAACAAAGACGCTGTGAGACTTTCGAAAACTATTAGGACAACATAATTGGTAAAAAAACAAAACAAACACGTGACCAAACTCACGTGATTTCCTTTAGTTTAACCTAAGAGATGCTACCTCACACACGTAAACATTTTATGCATGTGTGCAATATTTTTTAACCACACCAAAAACAGTATACATAAAGTACTGTATTTGACAGTCCGCAGTCTGTGCAAAGTGGGACGGAAAAATATGCACACTTATTGTATACTAAGCGTTTTAAATCGAATGTCTGCCTCCACTTGAATATTACTCTAAGAAGACTTTTCTTACGCCTGACTAAACTTTGACTTATACTACTGACACCAGTGTATTTTGTGCGAATTTTGGAAAAAGATACTAAGAAAAATTTCTCGTGTCTGACTAAACGTTGACTTATACTACTAACGCTACGATGTTTCGTGTGAGTAGTACTATTCGAGTAGAGTCAGACATTCGAAAAATACGGCCCCCTGGAAAAATTTTAAAGAATTTTCTTATGTCTGACTAGACGTTGATTCGAACTACTTGCTTCGAAATATTCTACGCTAGTAGTAATATTCGAGTAGAGTCAGACGTTCGAAATATACGGGTCT